TTTTGACAAAACATGTACGAAGAAGTCTTGACAAAACATTTACGCTCATTACGATGAAGAAGTCATGACAAAACATATACGATTAAATCATGACAAAACATATACGATTAAATCATGACAAAACATATACGAAGAAGTCTTGACAAAACATATACGTTCATTACGAAGAAGTCATGACAAAACATATACGATTAAATCATGACAAAACATATACGATTAAATCATGACAAAACATATACGAAGAAGTCTTGACAAAACATATACGTTCATTACGAAGAAGTCATGACAAAACATATACGATTAAATCATGACAAAACATATACGAAGAAGTCTTGACAAAACATATACGATTAAATCATGACAAAACATATACGAAGAAGTCTTGACAAAACATTTACGATGAAGAAGTCATGACAAAACATATACGATTAAATCATGACAAAACATATACGATTAAATCATGACAAAACATATACGATTAAATCATGACAAAACATATACGAAGAAGTCTTGACAAAACATATACGTTCATTACGAAGAAGTCATGACAAAACATATACGATTAATCATGACAAAACATATACGATTAAATCATGACAAAACATATACGAAGAAGTCTTGACAAAACATATACGATGAGGTCATGACAAAACATATACGCTCATTACGATGAAGAAGTCTTGACAAAACATTTACGATGAAGAAGTCATGACAATTCATGAGGTGAGAAAAGAGGTGAGATCTCACCTCTTCACCTAAAATATATTTTTGGATCATTTACGCTCATTACGATGAAAAAGTCTTGACAAAACATTTACGATGAAATCATGACAAAACATGTACGATGAAATCATGACAAAACATTTACGATGAAATCATGACAAAACATGAGTTAGTATGGTTAAGTCGTGTATTGTGGCACTGCGTTCCACCTTACCCAATACTTGTGAATTTGACACTTTACAAAACCGTTAACGTATATTTTACAACATGAACGCAAAAACTAATTTAACCTTAAATATTTACTAAGCCGCCAACCACTTCACTAACGAACTCACTAATGTAAAAAATAAACGTTCTCACTATCGTTCTCACTAACGACTTCACTAATGTTCTCATAAATTTTCCTCAATATCTTCATCATCAGTGTTAACCCTATTGTAGTCATACTTGAAGCCATAAACTTTCTCTAACTTCTTAACGTACAATTTACATAACTTACCTTCGTCATCGTATGGTTTAATGATATAACTATTTCTATCTTTATACACAGTCAATGAAAAGTCAACTGGTCTCGGATGTATTTGAAAGAACATGTTATGCTCAGGAAGGAAGAATAAATGTTTAAATGTATGTTTGTTATATGTTTTGATTTGTATGAGTTGCTTTTGTTCTGTCATTACATCCAAATAAAATAAAAATAAAATAAAAAATAAACTTAAAAATTAATGATATCACCACCCTCACACGTATGAAAACATCCATTTAAATTTAGGTGAAGTGGTGATATCTCACCTGTTTTCTCACCTCTTTTTTCACCCGTTGAATTCATTGCTTTATAACTCTCTTCCTTTCTCCAACTCTTCTAACTTCTTCCTAAGTTCAGCAATGTTGTCCTCATGAAGTTTAATCTTCCTTAATATACCTTCTCTATCTAATGGTTGCTTTATCTTTCTAAACTGAACTCTACCATCCTTCATAGTATGAATGTAAAAACCTTCTGGAATAGTTCCTGATTTAATGTATTCTACCAAAAACTTTTGTTTCATTGCTTCAGTGACTTTATTTGTCATTTCAATCAAATAAAAATTTTAATATTAAATAAAAATAACGTTATTTTTTCAGTAAGGAAACGCAGGAGTTTTACGATTTATTTGAGGAGTGGGTTCTGGTTTAAATGTTGGAGTCGGTTTAGGAGTTGACTTTTGAACAGGAGTTTGTATTTCCATAGGTTCAGGAGTCATTGAAGGTGTTGTTTGTGAAGGCGTTGGTTTTGGCGAAGGTGTTGGAGTTTGTTTAACTTCAGCTACTTCAGTATTATTTACAACATTTGCTTTATTTCTTTTCAACATCATAACTGCTCCTGCTGTAGCTAGCAAACCTAGTGGGAGACCATATTTTATATAAGGACTTGACCAAATGCTATTTTTGACAGGAGCTGGTGGAATACCTAACCTTGGTGAGACTGCTCTTTGCCATTGTGCAGCTCGTAAGAAATATTCAATAGGTGCTCCATAATCGTTTGGTAAAGTTTGTTTCATAGATGGTGAAGGTTCACGAGAGCTTGATGAAGAACTCATTTATAAGCTTTAAAAATAAACGTTCATCCTTTATTCCTCACTGTCGTCCGTGCTAAGTTATAGTCATCTAATCTTATTATTGGGATGCCATTAGCACGCACCTGATGCAAAGCAACAATCCCTCATAAATCCAATAAGTGGCTTTGGTACATTTTCAGTTGCTAGTTCAATAGGTCCTTTAACAGACAATTTGTATGTTATTGGAGCAGTAGATGTTTGACCTTGCTGGAAGCAAAAGTCCACTTCTGTTGGAAAACCACATAAGAAATGTGTGTTGTCATAGCTATCCCATTTATGTTCCACACTACCATCATCCACCAATGACCTCATAACATCTTCATTAAATCCAATCATATCATTGTTTGTATTGCAAGCGTTCGCAACCATTTCATAAAATACAGGTCCATATGATTTTTCAGGTTCTGCAGGCATATTTCCATAAGCTCCCATGGAAAGCTGAAGATATTTAAACTTAGGGTTCTCAAAATTAACATAATAGTTGTCTTTCTTTCTAAATAGTGCCCAAATACTTTTAACATTAATAGGCGTATAAGCTGCTGTAAATGTTGCACTTGAACTATCTGTATTCTTTGAGAATGAACCATCCATAGGAATCCAATCCATAACTTTAACAGGAAAACATAAAGCCTCGTTTGTATAATGTTCTACAAGTTCTGTATAAATGTTAGGGTCTAAAGAGAATGACTTTGGATGAATGAAACATTCATTAAAATCCATCTTTGTTCGAAATAGTTGCTGGGTTACAGTTGTAATAGTAACTGTTCCACTAGCTTCAGTTGCCTTCGTTATCATAGTGAATGGTTCATTCCATGGAACAAATTTATTTGTCGGTGGATTTGAATCTGAAGCAAATGCAACTTTAAGAGTTGGATTGAAAGCAATGATATCATTTACAGATATAGATGTGCATTGTAAGGCGTCGCTACTGAACTTTACTTTAAGCTGAATGTTTCCTGCAAAAGCTGGAATAAATCGAATAGCTTCTAATGGAAGGAATCTTCTAACAGGAATTCTTAAACGAAGCTTAAAATCAAATGATTTTCCTGCTGTAATTGGACCACTAACAATTTGTCCTGTTCTGCATGTTCCCGAATGACTCCATACATCTTCATGTCGAGTCTTTGAGAAAACATCTACTTTCTTTATTTGTTCGGTAGTTTGTGAGTTTGAAGTTATATATGCTTCTTCTCTTGCGTTGTCTTGAGAATATACGATACGACCATTTGCAAGGATTTGATATCCAGCAACTGCATAGAAAGCGTCATCGAAACCAATCCAAAATCCTGGTGGGTTTGTTTTATTGGAACCTGAACCAATTTCTTTATCTGCAATAAATTGACCTTCCATTTTATACGTAATGAATGTATTGTAAAGGTCCAACATATTTTCACCAGGAGGTGAGAGATTGAATGTTACCCATGTGTTATCTTTAGCAGTTCCAGGTTGTGATGGAATCTTTGCGTCAGAATATTTTCTATTAGTGTCACCAATTTGAACTGCATTGTCTATGATATCGAAATATGAGCGAATCTGATGAATATGCTCTGCTGGAGTAAATTCGTTTAACTGTTCGTTCTGCATGTATTTACTTCAGATAAAAATATCTATTTACTTCATTATTCTCACTCTTCTTCTTGGCATTCGTGGTGGAAGTTGTTTCTTGACATTTTCAATGAACTGTACATTCTCTTTTGTCTCAACTTCTTTCACTGGCGGGTCAGGGTTCTTTGACTCGGTTTGTTTTTCAATGAAATTCACGAACTTTGCAATAAGCTCTTGGTTCGTTATTGAAAGACATCTGGCTTCTTTTCTTCTTGGTTCTTTTGGTGGCTCAGTTTGAACAGAAGGTTTTATATGGGCTTCGTGGGCTTCGCCCTTGCCATGCACCTTAATGTTGTCGCTCTCTGCATTCGCTAATGGAACCTTTCTTTTTCTTACGTATATTTTACCATCTTTACTCTGACTTACGTAATAGAAAGGATGTTGTATTCCTCTTGCGTCATTTAATATAATAGACTCTCGCTCTGATTTTGACAAGCTCATTTTACATCGGTTAAAGTTTTAATTTTGTTTTTTATCTACAGTCAAATGACTCAGACAAGTCATATGGACAAGACCCAAGGGGTCATAGATGTTGAAGCATTGAAGAAAGAAATTCGCGAGCAAATTTTATCCGAACTGAAGGAACAAAAACAAGAACAAAAGCCAGAGAGACCAAAGAGAAAACTTAGTGAAAAACAACTAGCTGCATTAGCTGCTGGAAGACAGAAGAACCCACGTTTGCTGGCGAAAAAAGCTAGAGAAGAAGCAAAAGCAAAGGAAGAACAAAAAGCAAAGGAAGCTGAAGCAAAGAAAGAGTAAATGGTTTATTTTTATCCAAACTAAATGTATAGACAAATACCTTTATCTGTTGCGTTCAGTAGTGAAAACCCTGACGTCAAAATAAAGGGGAACAGAGTAACGTTTAAGTTTCCAACAGACTGGATTGTGAACATAAATGAAGAGAAGTACATTGGCATAACATCTATGTATATAACACGTGCTTTCAGAAAGGTTGACTTTATACTTCAAGTCGAGATAGAAAATGACGAACAGTCTTTAAGCGCCCAAAACATTCACATATACAAATACTTTAAAGACGATACAACATTGTTGCAATGTATGATTTCATTTAATGAGATGTTCGAGAAAAAGTTCAACATTGAAGTACAAACTTTACAGCCTTTACGTGAGTTTCTTGCACAACTGAAAGAAGAAGGTAGTCAGCCACAACTTATAGACTTTCATTATGAATTTAATGAAAATGAAGATGGAACTCATGACTGTCAATTCATTGTATTCTCACCATTCAATGAAGTCGCTAAAAAGAAAGAAAATCCATTACGTATAAGATTTCAAATCTCCGAACCAAGTGATGATTTTAAGAATGTTTTCAATTATGATGCAATGCTTCCGAGGAAAAATGAATTTTCAAAGATTGTAACACCTGGCATTTGGGATAGAAAGCAAGCAATACTTTACTCTAATATAGCCAAAGGCGTTGAAAATGAGTTCATTGGTCATACAAGAACTTCACCACTTCCTAACCCTAAATACTATAAATTAACTGGCTTCAATCGTGAGTTTTGGATAGACATGTTCTCCACTCATGACCATAAATGTCCGGTGTTCTTGCCTCCAGACCATAAGGACTGTCTCTACATTGAAGCACAACTCTTAAACTCTACCATCGCAGTATTGTAAAATCTACGCTAGCTTTATTTTTATCACGAATGACCTCATTGCTGACAAAAATAAGCCGCTAGCGGCAAGGGCGAAGCCCATGACCTCAGAACTTCAACTTACGAATAAAGCTTGTTTTAGTCGTTATTGAAAAGTTGAACTTTTCAGCAAAGCAAGGTTGACATGACTTACATAAGTCGAATGCAATCTCTTGACCATCATGAAGTGCTTTGTAAAGTTTCATTAAACTGAACTCAGAGTCTTTGTCATATGTTCCAACAGGTATGTGAATGTTCTTATCTTCATTGTAATAGCATTGTATAGCTTCAGGAAACATTTCATTAGCGGTTAAAGCAATAACATCTTGCTTCACGCCTTTCATTCTGCAGTGAAATGCAACTTCATTTAAATCGTTAGTGAGTAAGTCTATGTAGGTCTTCTTTCCACAGAAAATACTTTTATAAGCTAAACTTTGTTTTCCAGGTGTTATTTCTGCAAAGTCGCTATGAAATTGACCAAGGTTCTTTCCTATAAGTTCGCGACCATATCTCTTCTTAAACTCTGCTGCAAGCTTTGGTATGTCTTCATTATATAAGTGCATACTGTCGGTATCCTGGTAAAAGATTTGAAGACCCATATCTTCAGCAGTACAGAATACTTCATTCATAATACGTTTTGACATAGACAGAATATTAACACCAAGTGGACAGAAGTTAAAGTGTCTGCAAATGCTTTTCGTTAGCTTGAAAATAGTTTTATCTGAACCATCCAAACCTTCGAACTTCACTATATGGTTGTAATTTCTTATAGCATATCTTATAGCATCTTTGTCATTTACTATGGTTATTTTTGACTCAATAGGAGATAGAATAGTTTTGCCATAAATGCTGTTCAGAATGAGTTTTATAATTTCTTGTAAGGGGTTTCCTTCTTTCTTATACTTTAACCTTAACTCAAACAACTTCTTTACTTCATCTCTTATTCTCATATCTCTGTTTCCATCGTAATAGTATCCTTGCAACACTTCACATTTGACACCTTGATATTTTATGAGGTCTTGTAATGTTATATGGTCAACATACATGAGACAGCAAGTGTTTGAACTTCTTGGAACGTTAAGTTCTGGATTTAGTTCAGGGTCGCAAACTATTAAATGAAAGTGTCTGGGTATACCAATCTCTGTTATCTTAATGAGAACAAAGAAGCCAGACATAAACTTTTCACCAATGGGTTCCTTTTGGTCATCATCGAATAAATGTCTCATGAGATACTCTGTGCTTAACATTTCTTCCTTCAATACTTTTGGAATACCTTCTAAAGTATAAAGTCTTGCTATAGCTGAAGGATATAATGAAACAGTGTCGAAGTCAGCAATGAGTTTCTTTTTGCTCTTTTGTTTCATGTTATCTGACAACATACATCTTCCACCTTGAATGCATCTCGAAATAAATTCTCTTGGTTTATTTGAGAGGTCATAAAGATTTCCATTCGGGAAGTATACTCTGTTCTCAAACAATTTGTTAGCAATTGAACAAATACTAACGTAGTCATAAACGTTTAAATCAAACTCTTTCAATAAGTCATTGCGGAACTTTACAAAACCTTCTCTTAAAATTCTTACATCTTGTTTGCAGTAAAACGTGCTATATTTTTCTAAGTCGAAGTGGTTTTCATCTATTCTGCAACCTTTGATGGAATCTATGTTTTTCATAATGTATCTGCATCATGGATAAACTTACATGCTTCAGAAATGACACCAGTTCTGTTGTCATTTGCTAACAAAACACTGCTGTAGTAGTTATATGGAAATACTTCTTTCGGTCCTGTTTGTAAGTTAAACATAGCAGGAAATAGTTTAAGCTTCTTATTTATAACACTGTAAGAGTCTTTTATAATAATTGCCCGTCCTTTATATAAACCAGTTATTTGCATTGTTCGTGAACCTTTAATGATGGGAGTTCCTTTCACTTCTGTCATGTGTCTTAAGATGAAGTTTATGTCATAACTGAGGTTGTGGAAATATATTAAACTCTTGTCAGGAAGTCTTTCCAAAAATTCTGTTGCACAGTTTTGACCCCAAATGCTTTCACTCACTGAACCATCTTCACTGTCATAACAGATGTTAAAAGCTTTATGAAAGCCGTCTGTGCTACACTCAAAGTCAGCAAAGAAAACGTGCTCAGGAATGAATTTACATTTAGCTTTATTTACTTCTTTTGACTCTGCTTTCTTCTTCAGTTGTACACAATACTTTGGAGCATATGTCAAATCTTTAAATGGTGCAAGGTTCTGTTTATATAAGTCAGTAGTATATGTGAAAAGTTCTCCATAAGAAATAGGTTCGAAATATTTGCACTCCCACAATGTTTTCATAACATCCCATAGCGGTGTTGTTCTATCATAACGAACTACATATTTATCTTCTCTCTTTTGTATAAATCTTCATCTGTTTCTCAATGTTCATTCCACCACACTCCTTCAAGATTTCTATATAGTTTCGAATGAAGTATGTTGTCATTGGTAATCTTTCATTTAGCATGTAGTGGTCTTCAACAAGAAGTAAGTCAATAGTTCTAACAGTTTCGCATTCTTTTGGTATATATCTCTTTATTTCATTATGTCTTGAGTCATTGAAATAACCAATGGTAACATTAAATGCTATACCTGTTCGTCGAAATTTCTTGTACTTTACTTTGAGGAAAGTCTCTAACACGAATGACTTCTCTCATGTGGTCAATAGTTTCTTCATTTACTCCAGCCTGAATGCAAGCATAAACGAAACAATTGTCCTCTGTCATAAGTGTTGCAGTTCTTTTGTTCAGTTCATGGAAGATTTGGTAGCGTTCAAGATTTATAGGTAATGTGCAAAGATACTTCCAGAACTGACCGCTTCTCTTCTTATAAAACTTCTTTTCACCATTATCTTTCCAAAAGCTTTCTATAAGTGCTGGGTTTCCTGTTTGCTTAAGAGCTTCCAAAATGGCTTTCTGGTCATTTGTCAGTGTGCTTTCATCTCTATATGGTCTCTTTTTTGGTTTGCCTTTCTTTACATCTGACATCGTTAAGCCTTCATATTCTGTTAAATCATACATCTTTATTTCAGTAAGATTCTTTATGTTTGTCAAGAAGAAGTCATAGTGCATTTCAACAATACCTGCAGCATTTGCTTCTATCTCTGATATAAAGTTCTCCTTCAAGAGCTGATGTAGTAATGTTCCAATATTATTGAGGTTTAACGTAGAACATTCATACTTTCCACCAAGTTTATAACATACCATCCATCTTGTTGTGAGTTTATTTTAATTTTCTCTAAGAGTCTCATGAAAACCTTACCGAAATGTTTGTGTAAGTAGTCTCTGTTTGGTTCATCTAAAGCTTCGATGTTAAAGTCAATGAGTCTATTGCCTGACTTCACATTTCTCTTCCTATTCTCTTCATCTTTCTTTAACCATCTCTCACCTTCTTTTGGTTTGTCGTCAATGGAACGAATGACATCGTTAGCTTTGCGAACTTGTTCTATAGCACTTTTAAACATCTCTCTTCTCTGTTGTTTCAGTGTGTCGTCTCTTCTTCTTGTTTCACCAACGTTTGCATGGGCTACGCCCGCGCCGTCATGCGGCTTTGTTATGTCAAACATTTCTTGACGAACATCATGCGAAAGAGCTTTACGAGTATGACCAACGTTCGCATTTGTTATGTCAAACATTTCTCTTCTTACTTCATGAGGTACTGAACGTCTATGATATAAGTCAATAGCAATGTCATTTAAAGGAAATGCTCTTGCATGGACTTCGTCCTCGCCGCGTTGCGGCTTTATGAACTCATGAATTCTATCATAACTTATTGCACCATTGTAGTCTTTAATGAAGTCAGCGAGTGCTTTTTTGTTTGTCGCGTAATGTTTTGCAACATCTATATTAGCTTCTGTAAGAAGTTGTTTTATTTCCGAGTGTTCTAACTTAGACAACTTCCGATACATCTTTAGTAGGAAATAAAAAAATATTTTTTGAAAAAATTAGATTAGATTTTTTTTAAGTTATTTTTCAAAATAATTTAATATTTTTATTTTAATGAAACACATGCAAGATTGCAAGTTCTTTTCATACAATGCTCTCGCTACTGCCATCAAGAATGAGTTCAATGGTGCTTCAAACGTCAATGTTATCTTTAACAAGAAGTTTGTGAAAGAATCTAAGTTCGGTCAGTATGTCAGACCATTAGCTATTGTCATTGACCGCAAACGTTATACTTCACAAGAGTTAGCAGTAGTTTTGAAACAAAAGAGTTTCTTCGTGAATGTCAAAGATACTCATTATACTGTCATAAAGAACTCCAACATTGACTTCTTCAGTATTGCTATGAATCTTTCCGAACAGAAAGAATATAAGAAGGGTGAAACATCTGTGAAATATTATCCTTCATCTCTGAAGACAATAACGAACAAAGATGTTATACAAAAGTTCTTACCAAAGGTTGAAGAAGCTTCAATTGACATTGACGAAGGAAGTGAAATGGTTGAAGAAATTGACCCTGAAGCTATTTAACCAAAAATATATTTTTGGTGAAGAGACCCAAAGGGTCAGAGCCGCAAAGCGGCTAGGTGAGATATCACCTGTTTTTTCACCTCATTCTCTCTTCGTTAATGTTGTCGTGACTTCTTCGTTAATGTTGTCGTGACTTCATTCTTCCTCTTTGAAGTTATCGAAATATTCTGTTATTTTTTCCTTCAGTAATGTTAAGTCTTCTTTGAAGGTAAGTATTGTGCAACCTTTGATGTCATAGTGTGTTTGAGGAAGAGTATTTTTGACAATTTCTTTTATTTGCTCATTCGGTGTCATTGAAATCGGTAAGTTTTCACGATAGAACCAGTTTCTGTCAGATTTATATATTTTAGCAAGGTCGTAAAAGCTTTTGTTGTTTCTTCTGACTAAATGCAACATAACCATATCTCTATCTTCTTCTTTCTCCAACTCTTCAGTATAAATCATATACTTATAACTCTTTTCCTTTCCTTTTGGTACTGAACGTGGTATTCTTTTCTGTATGCTTTTGTCTTTGGATTCAATGACTTCATCTTTTGCTTGAAGTTTCTTTTCCATCTCTCCACGTTCTGCTTTATATAGTTCATCTAACATCATGAAAATATAACAAGCATAACGAGGTGAAGCCCACATTGCTACAGCATTTACTAAAAGTCTATGAACATAATAACCTTTCAAACCAGGTGCCAAATTCTTGCGATTTTCGTACGGAATCTCTTCCCTCGGTTTTCCGAGGGAAGCAATCATATGAGGAAATTCTTCTAAAAGTTCTTTTGCCTGTTGGTTTTCAAACCAATGATATGCTTGCTTTGTAGAACGAAGAGCGTTCATTATACTTTGCATTTGATACATATCATCTTTGACTGAACGAATGAGTCTCAATTGTTTGTTATATTGTATGTATTCGTATTCTTCATTTATGGCTTCATGAACGATAGCAGTTGTTGTGTTCTCTAATGTTGACATTACTGTTCTTACATACAGGATAAAAAAATAAATAAAATAAAAACTAACTTTATTTTTTCTATCTTTCACAAAAGACCAAAAATAAACGCTTTACATGTATTTTTCAGCAACTTCGTCAAATAATTTTATAGCTTTATCTATCTCATCTACTTCAAACGTTTCTTTACCTTTTATGGGAGCACCATACATTTCTCAAACTTTTCAAGTAGTTCTGTTTCTGCAGCTCTCATATCATTAACTAACACAACCTTGACTCTATTGACTGTACTGTCATATCTTTGAGTTATATTATATGTTCTTCCTATCTTATATCTCTTTGTATTGAAGTCCTTCGGTTTCTGAACGATGTAAAGTAAGCCTTCACTGCAACGTTCCGATCGAATGAACCATATGTTATGAAGTTATATCCAACAACTGGGTCTAACCATAACAAAACTATTGGTATAAGACTTTTGTCTATAAGATATGCTGTAGTTCCATAGAATCTTACCGATATCATAAGCTTAGGATTTCTTGTCAAAATTTTCTGAGTAGAAGCAATTTTAACCCAGTCGTGGGATGTTTTCTTTCCAGATGGAGATATAATGTCTGACAAAGAATATTTGTTGTATTTCTTTGAGTATCTTACGTTTAAATCACCTATTCTAACCACTTTGGTGTCATTGTCTATCTTTTTAACTGTTTCAAACTCAGTGTTTGACATTTTTGTTCTTACATACAAAATAAAAAAATAAATAAAATAAAAACTAACTTTATTTTTTCTGTCTTAAGGAAATTCATGAAATTTGGTCATTTTTCAGCAAAAATATAATTTAGGTGAAGAGACCCAAAGGGTCAGAGCCGCAAAGCGGCTAGGTGAGATTTCACCTCTTTTTTCACCTAATTTTTCACCTCTTTTTTTCACAAGCGTTTTACATGGTAAACGTTATTTTTTAAATTTTGTGAAAACTCAACGGTTTGACACATGCCCTAAAAATTATTTTACTCAGAATTTTGTTGCTGAATTCAGCAAAAATATAATTTAGGTGAAGAGGTGAGATTTCACCTGTTTTCTCACCTAATTTTTCACCCTCAGCCGCTAAGCGGCGAGACCCAAAGGGTCTTGACTTTGTCATAACTTCTTCGTAAATGCTTTGTCATAACTTCTTCGTAAATGCTTTGTCATAACTTCTTCGTAAATGCCTTGTCAAGATTTCATCGTAAATGCTTTGTCATGACTTCTTCGTAAATGAGTGTAAATGACCAAAAATATAATTTAGGTGAAGAGGTGAGATGTCACCTGTTTTTTCACCTGTTTTCTCACCCTAGTTATTTTATAAACGTTTTACATGAATTGTACGATGTATATTTGAAATCCTAAACAATTTCGTAGCTTCTATTTCTTCTGTCAGTATGTCAAAAGTTTTAACAATGCCGAAAGTCTCTTTATATTTCTTCTTGACGTCAGATAGAAGGAAATCTTCTACTGTTGGATAGTTTTTGTTCAGAAATTCTAACATGTTCATTTTATCTTCTGCTGGCTTTTCTGCTTCTTTCTTTAAGTCTGCATAGTCGTTTCGCATTCTTTCTATCTCTTTGACGGAGTAGTTATATTTCCTAATTGCTGCCTTACATTTTGAACATTGTGGGTTCATTTTTGCATTATACATTGAAATTTGACCTGCTAAAACAACTAAGGCGTCAATTGCTCTCTTCATCTCAAACATAGCGGGTCTTATTTGTTCGTTCCATACTTTGCCTCTTCTATCTTTATCTCTTATTTCCCAAACACATTCAGCAACTAATGAAACAAAGTTATCGTAAGTCTTAAACTCCTCAGATTTATATATGTCAGAAATGTTTTTATATACCATGTCGCAATCTTTGTCCATAACCTTATGGTTGCAATGAAAACCAAGGAATTCATAATTTACTTTACGTATGAACTTCTTTATTTCTACTGAGTCAGTTGGTTTCACTTCAATTTCGTCGAATTCAGGAATAGTGAGTTTTTGTTGTTGGATTTCAGGCAATTTGGGTAAATGGTCAATAATGTCCTGCATTTCATAAAGATACTGTTCATTTGTTTCATCTTTCGCACTACAGTCTAAATTACTTGTTAAAAGTTCTTGCTTTATCTTCTGGATTTTTGTTTCGAAAGTATATGAAGAAGGAATGAAGTTTTTCATCTCTACTAACATAGATGTTGGATTCATGACTAACGAGTTTGGTGCTGTAGTTGTGGACAGAGTCCCGCCGTTCGCGGCTTGTATTGTTGTTGTGCCGATTGTTGAAATCATATCTTTTATACAAAATAAAAAATAAATAAAAATAAAACTAAACATTATTTTTTGGTCTTTTGTGAAAATTCATGAAAATTCACGGGGTGAAAAAAGAGGTGAGAAAACAGGTGAAATCTCACCTCTTCACCTATAATATATTTTTGGTCATTTACACTCATTTACGAAGAAGTTATGACAAAGCATTTACGAAGAAGTTATGACAAATTCACGGGGTGAAAAAAGAGGTGAGAAAACAGGTGAAATCTCACCTCTTCACCTATAATATATTTTTACTGAATTCAATAAAAATAAGCCGCTAGCGGCAAGGGCGAAGCCCATGAGTTCATTTACTCACAATATTTTTGTACAAAACGACCCCAAACTTTTAACTTCTTTTCTGCAGCTTCAAATGCTATCTTAGCGAGTTCATATTCTCTAAATTCTCTCTTTAAATCTTCTTGTTCCCATTGGTCTAGTTCGTATGGAGAATCTCTATAACCATAATATATCTCACGTTCATGTTCTAATTGTTTTTCACACATTTTTCCAACTTCTTCTTCGAACAAAGGTTTAGCATTCTCCACTGTATCTTCGAGTTCTTCTTCATCTAACTTCTCATGAACTTTCTTGTCTATGGAGTCCATAATATCTTTGACATAAAATGCATACTTTACAGAGCACCATTCAGCAACAAAATGAACGAGGTCAGGATGTATGTAAATACCTTTGAATTCATTCATGACACCCTTTGTAAGCTCATAAAATGCTTGTTTTGAGGTTGAGCCACTTTTGGCTCGACCGTATTCTTTCAACCAAAACTCAAGAATTTCCTGCATTTTAGTACTATTGAGAAATCTGTTTAAATGGTTTAACCTTCCCGCTTCTCTTGCCATCTTTGTTGCATTAATGTAACCATCCTTGTCTCTACGTAAGACTTCAATACCATTATAAGTGCCTTTTGTGAATGTTTCACCATTAGATTTGTTCGTGAATGTTTTTGCTTCGACTGACATTTCTGTTCTTACATACAAAATAAAAAAATAAATAAAATAAAACTAATTTTATTTTTTTGGTCTTTTGTGAAAATTCATGACAAATTCATGAGGTGAGAAAACAGGTGAAAAAACAGGTGACATCTCACCTCTTCACCTATAATATATTTTTGTCTGATTTACATCCAACGAAAAAGTTTAGAAGAATTTTCTTATTCTTTCTGGCATGTTTTTATCTTTCCAGTACTCCCGCTCTAATGGTCCCAGATGTGTTGGCTTCGACTCTCTCAAGTTCTTAGATGGTATAACATCTTCAACGCCTCCTTCATATCTTACTTTATAAGTGTCATCGTTTGTGTTATAGCCAAGTATTTCAATAACCACTCCTCGCTTTGCTTCGTCAATGGTTTCAGCAAGTTTGCCATTACTACTTTCAACTAATTTATGACAAGGGTAAAATGCTATGGAGTCGTCAGCAGCTTTTATAAGATATCCATTACCTTGTGTAGAGTCTACGATATAATAATTTCGACTTAACCTTAAACGTTTCTTTGTCAACGGTTTGTCGTCAAGAACTACACGAACTTTTGTTCCAGGAATGAGAGTAAATTGTGTTGAATTTCTGATATTTTGTGTTTGACTTCGTTTCTTTTGTATATACTTTTCTTCTTGTTGTTGTGTCATTGAATTTGGTGTATGTCCTGTTGTAGAATGTGTTGAGGAATTGTAAACTTCGATGAAATGTTTCATTGTTTCTTCGGTAAAGTCTCGCTCTTGATTTAAATCTCTGAGCGTTCTTATGAAGCGGTTAATGATACCGAGTATGTTATGGTTATGGTCTTCAGTAGTGTAGTGAGTTATGTTATGCTTAATGAGAAATTCTGTGATTTCGTTGCTGAGGTATGCACCGTCTTGGTCTGATGTTAAAATACTTGGGCTATGTTCTGCTACAAACTTTTGTAAAACTCTTAACACTTCATGAGTTCCTTTATTTTTCATTGGATATGCATATGCTTTACGAGTGTTAACATTTATGAAGATGAGGAATGGTTTATGTCCTCCTTTTCTGCTTTGAATGAGAGTGTCAAATTGGTATGCGTCAGGAGTGTTGGAGTAAATTGGTAAAAAGTAGTCGTAAGGATTTATTTTTGTTTGATGTACAACATTTTTGTCAAAGAACCTTTTCACTTCAGCTCTGTTAGTAAATCCCCAACTCTTTGCAGCTTCATTGAACTTCTTAAATGACCTCCATGGATGTTGTTCGAATACTTCTTTCAAGCTCATTTATGTAAAGTTAAAGATTTTATTCTAGGCTCAAGCGCGTTCAATGAACGCGGTACCATGCGAATATAGTCATAAATGGTGGCATATAATCTTCACCCGAGCCTGTTGGATTTGTTGTGAAAGTGTGTGAATGATTTCCTGTGGTTCCACAGAAAATACCTGTGCTTGAATCTACTGGGTCACTTGAAATATCATATCTATGCATTCCCTGTCTATCCGAACCTGCTGCAAGATTTGTATAACCTCTTTTTGTTATTGAATGTGAATGACTACCTGTTGTGTTTGTAGTTCCTGTATGAGTGTGCGGTGGAAGGTTTGCTTCTTTAATTTTCTTCGAACCACCTGTTTGCTTTGAAGAGTTCGCACAGTATAAGAATTTATCTACAATCTGCTCCCACGTACCGAAACCCAGAACTGTTGCTGGATTTATTGAGTTCATTGACGTATAAATAGAGCCTGCAGGATATAATGTTTGAAGTATTTCAGTCTTTAATGTTTGAAGCTCTGTTTTGTCAGCCTTCTTGTCATATAAATCTTGAGCAGTGAATTTAATATTATGTTCATCCTTCATGACATAAACATCTTTACATCTAATGTTTCTCATCGTCGTTATGTCGTCATCCGATGTTAAACCTTGTGGAAAGTTAGGAGGTTTACAATATAATACATCCCCATCAGGTTCTTCAACCGTTCCTTCAATACTTTCTATAGCAACAGTTGTAAAACTTGTATGTGTATGGTTCTTGTCTGCTTTCTTCTCTAACATTGCTGGTAGTTCATGGGTTTCAAAGTTTCTGGCATGACCTTCAATGTTCATACATTTACTATTTAAGGAGTTTAGTGTATCTTTTACGCTTGTACTTGGATTTTCTAATGGTGCACTTGAACCAAGGGTATAGTTCAATATTATGTCGTCTGCTCTAACAGTAGTGAAGGATTTATGTGTATGGTTCTTGTCGGCTTTACTGTCTAATGTAGCTTGAAGTTCATTTATATCGGAGATGTTGTGTTTATGAGATTTCAAAACTTTGTTCATTGCTTCGAGTTCAACTTTGTCAGCTTTACTTTTAATAGCATCTTCAAACGTTATTTTTGACTTAACTCTCAAAGTAAATCTTGGTTCAACTAATACACCTTTAACAGAGAAAGTAGAGGCATAAATTTCATCGTTATAACTAAATGCTTCTGGTGCTTTAGCTACATCATACTGTACAGTACAGCTTATGTCATAACCTTTAGCACGAATGTATTTATATCTTCTTTCATTAACATTTTTTGTCTTCGCTTCATCACTTCGTGTTAAATATCCATGGTAGTCCGTTATAATCTGTTCGTCTGAAGTTATATAATGAACGTGGTTTTTATCTGCTTTTTCGGCTAATTTCTCTTCTATCTCATTTATTTCAAGTTCATGCCTACCACCACCTCCCGAAGAAGTATTTTTCTTCAGCTCTTGAAGAACGTCCACTTCGCCATCTTTGGTGTCAATAATGAGACTTTGTGTTAAAACCTTTCCTGTCTTAATGGATGTTTGTAAAACTTCTTCTTCACCGTGTTCGGGGTCATGGTCGTCATCATATCTTGTGAAATCAGAGATGTTGTCATACATTAAGCATATCTGTCTCAAAAGTTCTGCTATTTGAAACTGGAACGAAAGATATACAGAACTTTCATCATCTCCTAAAGTCAAGTCTGCTTTCTTAAGTATTTCTTGAATGTATGCAATGAGAACAGAGTACCTTGGAAAATATTCGAACAATATTTCATTAGCTGTTGGTTTTGGTGGTTCCTCTGGAGTTTCTGTTGTTTCAGTTCCTTCTGTAGGTTCTGTTGGAGTTTCTGCATCTCTTGACTTCAATGCTCTTGCTCTCAAAGACCTAAATGTTAGAGCACCGGGTTTTACAAAGGACTTTATAAATGCTTTAATAGTTCCTGGTAAGTTATTGTTAGCATTAAGTAAGTTCCTTATGGTTCCATCATGTACGTCCATAGCACTATGTAAAAAATCTATACTTTTCTTGTAGTCAGCAATAGACTGACTGTGATTTTTTAAAGATTTGTCAATACCTTTAAGCCAATCTTCATGCATGTCTGATACTGAGCCAAGAATATCATTTGCTTCCTTTAGTGTATTTTGTGCTTTTCGTAAAGTATCCAATCCCGTACGTGCATTGTTTGCTATACGTCTTACAGTATCTATTTGACTCCTTGTTTCTTGCATCCAACCAGATAAAGTTTTAATAGTATCCGAACCATTTGAAATGAAGTTCAAAGCATTTTTAACGTCATCTAAAGCTTCTTCACCAAGTACTGCCCATATCTTTCCGATTTGGTATTGAAGAACTCCATATGAAGCAGCTGTTAAACCAGTATTTATAAGGTTCCATATCCATGATTTAGCAGTTTTTCCATCCTTTCCATCTTCACCATCCAAACCGTTTTCGCCTTGAGGTCCTTGTATTCCTTGTATTCCTTGTATTCCTTGTATTCCTTGTGGTCCTTGTGGTCCGGTGTCACCCTTCTCTCCTTTCAGTTCATCTTTATGTTCGTTATAATATTCTAATGTCATAAGGTGTACATCATTACTGCTACCAGAAATGCCAAGAATTTGTTTCTCATTCATGACTAAATTCTTTAGGCATTTAATGTTGTCGTCAAATCGAAAGCTCTTTAACAATTCAATGAGAACATTCAGTACTTTCACTAAAGAGGCATCTACTGTAGAATTTATATATTGCACCGTTCCATCATTTATGATAGGAACTTTACTTATTGTAATGAATGGGTCATAAGTGTTAAAAGTATCGAAATCAATGACTTTTTTAGTTTTTCCATCGTCAATGACTAAATCATTGCCTTCAATGGTTAAAGTTGAGTTTTCGTTTACTAGTTCATGTGCTCTTCTTGCTTCATTTGTTTCATACGCATATGCAGCAATAGTCATATTTTAATGAGAATAAAATGTTGTTCTATTTGCAAAGTACAGACCCAAACGAATACGGGACAGTAAAGCTACAAACAAACTTAGGTCTTCAGAATGAAGCACTTGCTTTCAGAGTTGTTGACTTCAATACTATCGCAACTTTTGTCATAACAGATGAAACAGATTTCATAGAGATTGAAATAGATGACAAAAGAAGTTTTATAACATTTCCTAACAGAGCAGAGTATAGAATAGATAAAATTGCTGGAGTCATAGATACTCTCATAAATGAAGAAACTATTGAAACATAGATGTCGAACTCTCTTCTGAGGGAACATTGAAGTTCAGTAGCAAGAAAGAGTTCAAGATAACACGAATGAGTCATAGAGTACAACTTCTTTTGGGAGCATACCATATGACATTTCCTTTGAAAAGTGTTGACAAAAACGATTGAGATGAAATCTGTTCCATACGTATGTTATGGCAATTGTTTGTACATTGAGTCTAAAATAGCTAATGTCACAGGCATTTCAGGAGTTAATAGTAAAGGTTCAGTAGAATATAAATCCTTCTTTATGCAGTCAATTCAATGTTCATTCCAAACGTTCCTGTCATAGCAACTCATTTAGGTAAATGGGTTCGCATTAGTCCTCATAATTTGAAAGACATGCAATTCAGACTAGTTGACTTTCAGGGCGAGCCTGTAGAACTGAAGGCACCAGTGCGAATGACTGTTGAAGTTGACTTTTTAGAAAATATTAAATGCAACAGCTTACAAGAGAACTCAGAGCTAAAAATATAAAGTATGAATGTTATGTATTAGGTCATGAACTTTGGTTGTTGCTGTTTGATGAAACAAATGAGTTAGTTATGTCAGTCAAGAGAACAGAAAAAGGCGTCAAAGGCGCCGAGCGCAAAGCGCTATATTGTGTTAGTGAAAACTGCACCAAGTCAATAAGATTAGGTTTGCATTATGAAGATGAGTTCGATACTGTTGAAGAAGTTTTGAATAGATATTACAAATTGCTTTAATTTACTAAAACATATTTCAAGCAAAGTTTATATTCTGTTGAAAGTTTTGTATACTCGTTCGAATATTTATACTTAAACTCAACTCCTGTAGTTCCTGGTATTTCAATGATGCGGATGTTACCTATTTTCATGAATGGTGGCGTTTGACCACAGCATTCGATTTCAGGGTCGAGATAGTCAATGACACATTGTTTCCCTGTTATTCGTGAGATAACATTTTCAAGGTCCTCCTTTGTTAGAATTATTTGGTTCTTACTTATAAGATTTGTCAAAAGCTTCTTATCGTCTTTGAGTAAAATTGTTTGGTATAACTGAAGAAGGTAATGGTCTACGTTATCTGAAGGATTTGTTTGAACATTTGTGTAAGGGTTGTCGTTGGCTTCTCTTGAAAGAATTTGGTCCAGTGGTGGATACTCTAACTTAACATCTGATGTAGCGTTAGCGTTTGAAGCTGTGTTTAAATTCACGGATTTCAGCTCTGGTTCTGGCTCTTTCAAACACTCCGAACTATAATTCTTTATGACAATATTGTTTGTCGTTCGTGAGTCAACATTTGATGTTGGTTCAATTGGAACATTAACGGCACCAGCTAAGATGGATTTGCTTCTCATTTCATATAGAATAAAAACCTTTTATATGTATGAAATGAACAATATACTCGACAAGGGTTTGAATGTAAAGCTAACGAATGAAAATATTGTTGAATTCACCGAGACAGGAGCTGTGTATAAAGATGTAGAACTACTGAACAAAAGAGCAAAGGGAAGAAGCAGGAATATGAACAAAGGGTGGAAGCCTATAAAAATTTATGTCAATGATGGCTCGGGAGGTTCAAACATAAAGTATGCAGAAAGTTATAGAGTTTATGCTCTCAAAGGTGAAAAGCCTTCATTTAAGAACAGCTATTCTAACGCATATCCTCAAAGCTAACGGATGGGGAAGTGGATGATATGAATGACAGCAAAAATATTAACAGAAATGGCGACAGAGATGCATGGAATTTGTTTACCATCAGTCAATTGAAGGTTAAACTTTAAAACAATGTTGGTCGTTCCCATGGAATATTTTTGACTTTAATGGTATTAGTCATGATATGAATCTCAAGGTATGAACGAGGAGAGATGAGAGACTTATATGCTTCCCAAATTTCTTCAAAAGGTAATGTTATACCTGACTGTTTCCAAATGAGTTCAATATCACGTGAGAAACCTTGAAAGATAACGAAGTCAGTTATGAGACGTTTTATGTTTAAAGCAAAAAACGCCATGTTTGCATAAGTATTGCTACAGTTAAATGGTAATGTCTGACTTTAGTTATGATGTTAGCTAATGGTGAGTCAGGCTTTGACACTAAACCTTTTCCGGCGAAGTCGTCACAAACGAGCAGAGTGTTTGAAGGATATTTTTTGAAGGGGTATTTTGAAAGTTTTGACAGAATGTAGTTTGTAAGTCGTTTCATATCGTAAACTCCTGAGTACTGACGTAAGTGGTGTTTGTCAATAATTCTTTCCATCTCTTCTGAAGTCTTTTGCATTCCTGACTGTATGAACTCAACAATGGCATAATATTTTCTCTTACGTCGAATGTAACGTTGAAGAAATTCAATGAGTTCACTGTCTGGAACTTTAACGACAGAGCTTGAACTTTGACTCATAAATGTTTTCGCTGTTGAGTCCATAGAGTCTGAAGTTGCTGATATAATGATTTGGTCATAGTAAGAGTCGTTTCCTAAACGCTCTGTTATGAGTATATGACGAATGAGGTTGAATGTCTTACCTGAACCCATCTTTCCACAATAGAAATACACACCATTTGAACAGAACTCATAATCTTTGCTGAAAGGAAGAATAAGAGAAGAGTTAAGTTTGTCTGTAGTTTCATTCATGTCTTCATCTACGTCATGTATTAAATGCTTCATTTTATCTCCATTAAAAATGCAAGTCAGAAATATTCAGAACATAGCACCGAGTCTAACTGACAAGAGTATAAAGATATACTATGAACACGTTATGATGAAACCAACCAAAATTCAAGAAAGTCAGTATACTTATGAATATCCAAGACACTGGGTAGAGTATGTAGGAGGTGAGAAAGCTATTGAAAAAGACAAGTTCGAAGTATTCCAGCAGGAAGAACAATATTATTGAAGAACTTTAATGTTTTGAGATATAATGATGAAACAAAGAAGCAAGATAGTTTTCCTGTTGCTGTGTATGTGAACTAGATACAGGAGATGACATGAAAGTTTTTAATACAAAGCTTCAAACGGTAGTGAGAGAACAACTTACTGCGGAAGGACATCCATTACCTTCAGAAGTTACCATAGCATATAATTTTGAAACAAACTCAATAGATTTTAAAGTCGTCTCTGCAAAGAAGTCAGGTTTTACATTTAATGAAGCAGATGTATATTCGAATGAAAACTTCAAAGCTATTGCATGGTTAGATAATGACGATTGCTTTAAGAAAATATTTAAATACAGTGACTCAAGATGTCAATAGATGACCTTCGTGGAATGTTACCATCGACGTTTACAGTAGAAGGTTCAGCAGGATTGCTTACAAGATTGTCAATTGGTGGTATTTGGTCTCGTGAGAACATTGTTATAAAATCCAGTATAAGTGAATTTGCTGAAGAATCTATATTATGTCTTT